CGTTTGGCCAACAGATGAACAATCCAAGTCCACTTAAGAATGAGCTGAATAGGCTTCTTAAGAAGCTTGAAACAAATGAGCGTAAAACCTTTAAGGAAACAAGCTTCATGAATACTTTCTTTTTTTCCCCTTTTGGATTGACAATGGACACAAAAACATCTTTATATCTGTGAATTGATAAATATTATAGAAAAAAAAAAAAAAAACAAAAACAAAAAAACAAAAAACAGAGAATTGAGAATGCAATAGAGGGTTGAAAAGTATGGGTTAGATATCAGCATAGAAAACCTAGAAGACATGCTGCAAGTAGCAATCAATTCTAAAGGAGCAGGTGCCCCCACCCAAAATTTTTGAAAACTTTTTTTTAAAGTATAGGCTAAAACCAAAAAAAAATAGTATAGGTTACTAAGATAAGTTTATAGTTGGTGGCCCCTTATAAATTTTTCTTGAATGGACCTTTAACAAATATATATATATATATATATATAATATTCCGTAGCTATCTCTCTCCTTTTGAGCCCTCTCTCCCTTTCTCAATTTTTTTCTTTTCCAAAAGAGGCTTCTTTAATTTTTTTTTGTGGTCCCCTTGTTCTTGTTTGTTTTTATGTTTTTCTAAAGCAAGTTTCCCCTTCATTCTATTCTCCCATTTTGCTTTGGCTTTTACACTAATTCAGGCGAGTGAAGACAGAGAGTTTAAAAAGAGAAAAGGTAAGCTCTTCGAACTCGAAGAAATGCCCCCAACAATTCTCGGAACTCATCCGGAAAAACAAAACGAGGTACGAAAAATAAATAAAAATAAAAATTTGAAAAAAAATCCAAAAAAATCTGGAAAATTACAGTGGTAATGGTGATGGTGATCGTGATGGTGGTGGTGGTGGTGACAGTAGTGATTGTGATGGTAGTGGTGATGGTGACAGTGGTGCTTGGTGGCGGTGGTGGTGGTGACAGTGGTGCTTGGCGGTGGTGGTGATGGGTTTCAATTTCAGCAGCTTTAGCTAAAGGTTAGCCTTAAACTCACCCTTTCTTTCGAGTCTGTTTAATCTTGTATAAGTGGGTATAAGTTATATATATATAGGGTAAAGTGAGAAAAATACCATAATGTTTATATTTTGGACAAATAACACTATCTTTTATATTATGTATATAAGTTGTTAAGTTTGAAAAAATAAACAAATAAAGACTTAAGGTCAATGTTTCCTTAAAAATTTAATTATATGCATTACACATGATATTTTAAAAATAAAATATAAAATTTTGAAAAGACCGTTTTCACTTTTGATTATACCCTCTCTCTCTCTCTCTCTCTCTCTCTCTCTCTCTGAGGCTATAGAATAACATCTATAAATGATTGATTTGCTTCGAGGGTTGAAGGCCATCCAGAGTTGAATAAAGGTTGAATTTGGAACTTCAAACAAACACTTATAATCTTTAATCACTAATGCTACGTTTGGTGTGTAGGAATGGAATGGAATGCAAGTGAGAATGGAATGAGAATGGGAATGGAATGAAATGGCCATTCTCATTCTATTATTTGAAAATAAATATGAAATGTGTAGGAATGGAATGATAATAACCATTCTAGTGTTTGGTTGGACCAATTTAAAATTTAGAATGGAATAAATTTCTAATTAAATTCTCCAAAATATCCCTCTTAGTAAGAAATAAATTAAATAAAATTAACAAAATGATATTCTCTAATAATTTTTTATAAATAAATGGTGGCAGTGGCGGTGGTTGATGGTGGAAAGCGGTAGTAGTGTAGGTGGTAGTGTTGGAAGGTGGCGATGGTGGCAATGGTGAAAATTGGTGGTAGCAGTGGTGGTGGAAAGTTACAGTAGTGTTGGTGGTAGGCGGTGGCAATAGTGTGGTGGTTGTGATGGAAGGAAATAGTGGTGTGACTATAGTGGTGGTGGAAGGTGGTGGTGGTGGTGGTGATGGAAGGTGGTGGCGGTGGTGGAAGGTGGTGGTAGCAGTGGTGAAAGGTGGTGGCAGAAGGTGGTGGGCGATGGCAAAAGGTGGTGGTGGCGGCGGTGGCGAAAGGTGGTGGTGGTGGCGATGGTAAAAGGTGGTAGTGGTGGAAGACGGTGGTGGAAGGTGGTGGTGGTGGTGGAAGGTAGTGGTGGCGGTGGCGGTGGCGAAAGGTGGTGGCGGAAGGTAGTGGGCGATGGCGAAAGGTAGTGGCGGTGGCAGTGGCGGAAGATGGTGGTGGTGGTGGTGATGGTGAAAGGTGGTGGTGGTGATGATGGTGAAAGGTGGTGGTGGTGGTGGTGGAAGGCGGTGGTGGCGGTAGTGGGTGGTGGAAGGTGGTGGTGGTGATGGAAGGTAGTAGAAGGCGATGGTGATGGTGGAAGGCGATGGGGGAGGCGTTGATGATTGTTGAAGGCAGCGGCGGTGGCGGTGGTGGTGAAAGGCGGCGGTGGCTGTGGTGGAAGGCGGCGGCGGTGGTGTAGGGCGGTGGCGGTGGCGGTAGTGGAAGGTGGTGGTGGTAGTGAAAGGCGATAGCAGTGGTAATGGTGGAAGGTGGTGGCAGTGGTGAAAGGCGATGGCGACGGTGGTGGTGGAAGGTGGTGAAAGGCAATGGCAGTGGTGGTGGTGAAAGGCGGTGGCGGTAGCGGTGGTGAAAGGCGACGGTGGCAGTAGCGGTGGTGAAAGGCAGCGGCGGCAGTGGTGGTACAAAGTGGTGGGCGATGGTGAAAGTCAGTGGTGGTGAAAGGTAGTGGTGGTGGTGGTGGTGGTGGTGGTGAAAGGCGGAGATGATTGTGGTGGAAGGTAATGGTGGTTTTTAGACTTGGAATATGAGGATGTTTTGAGAAGTCAATTTTTTAAAATAAATTACTTGGGAATGGAATGGTCATTCCATAGGTTTAGTTGTGGAATAGATTTTCATTCTCAGGAATGAATTTTCATTCCAATGGAATGGTCATTCCCACTTTAAGTTGTATACCAAACAAAGAAGTGATTGGAATGGACATTCTATTCCATTCCAATCTTACACACCAAACATTATATCAACTTAATTCCTCTAAAATTATGTCTCAAGTTGGTCCACATACCAAGAACCCACAACTACAAATACGATTAAAATCCACAACTTTACTTGATAAATCAAAGTGGAATTTGGGCTACGTCTGCGATCCTCAAGCCACTGTCAAGAACTTTATAGCGAGGGTTATGGGGAAATGGGCATCCTCTTTATATACCTATTTTATTATTATTATTATTTTATTTGCAATATCATTAATATGTACACTTTTTTTTTTTTTTTTTTTTTTTTTTCTGCGTCAATGTACAGGCAAAAAGTATATGAATGATTCAATGAAGTGTGATGGTAAAGCGACTCATTAAAAAGAGCATCAAGGGGACAAAATTACAGAATTAGCCTTGACGCACCATATTTATTGAAAATACATGAATGCTAGTGGTTGTGAGGGACCCATGCATCACCCATAAGGGAGAGGGAGACAAGTCTTTTGGCCCTAGCTTTAACGAGTGGACCTCATCATGGTCTTAGTGGCGGAGAGAATACGATGCCATGCCCTGCTTTCCGTGTGCTCCTACTTTGTACATGTTTTTCATAACACACAGTAGTAGTGTATTATAAATGAATAAATGATTTAAAGATCAAATTTTGTAATTTTCGTGAGTGGGGTGATTGGCCTTTATTATATGATGTTCTCAATTATGACGTAATGTGATGACACTTATCACTTTTTTTTTTTTTTTTACATAAATGAAATTTAATAAATGTAGAATTTAATTCTTAAATCACTAGTGCATATAAAATGTAAGCCCCCATGATTAATTTCTATGATTTTTTTTTTTTAACATTAAATATTAGGAACTTTTCCATATTGCAATTATATATATACCTATTAAATACTAGGGGGGAGGGGGAAAGTTTCAGAGGGGGCAATACTAGAATTTCATAGGTATATATATAATTGCAATATGGAAAAGTTCCTAGTACTTAATGTTAAAAACAAATAAAAAATTAAGGGGGACAATTGCCCTGAGCCTTTGTAGGTCTGTCCTTGTGAGCCCTCGTCTATTATTTTGGTCCGCTAACAAACTGATGTGGTAATTATTGAACTAAAAAAGTAGAGAAAGACATCATCTTATTAATTATTGTATAAAAACCTTTGTCTAATCGTATCTCTTATGAAACGAGGACTGAATAAGAGTTTATGAGAACAAAGAAAAAATTAATGACAAGAAAATAAAATAATACACACACAGATGAGATAAGAATTTATACGTGATTCACCATCGTAAATAAGATCACGTCCACGGATGATGATGATTCGTATCACTATAAAGAAGAAGATTACAAACTGAAAAAAACGCTTCCTCATAATAATTTCTCTTCTCACATCACTCAGTCACCAACAAAGAAGACCCACATAACACTCTCAAAAAATATCCCAAATAGTATATAGTTTATACAGAAAACCCCATCTAAATACAAGTTTTAAGTGTCACTTGAAAAACTAGAAGCTTACGACAACTTGGGGCCATGCCTTTGCTACCATACTCAACGACTTATCCGGCCCGGAGTGGAGAGACGCCCTTCCTGGGTCCTAGCGGATTAATCGAGACGAAGCCTCGGATACCCCGATTTATCCACAAAAAAAAAAAAAAAAAAAAAAAAGAAATATCACTTGAAGATTGTACACACAAAAAGATTTTTTCACACAAAAAATCAATATAATCTCTTAATCCGAATTCTCTTGAATGCCACTCAGATGCTTTCGGATTATCATCGTGCCTATATTTATAGGCCAATGTTGCCGCCATTAGCCAACAGCATATCTGCCTCGTTTGAACAGTCAAACATTCCAGCTCATAGATACCTAACATTTCTTAGTCATCACTTTTCCTTAACCTCTAAGTTTATGGAGATTTGGCCAACTTTAAGTGAACTAGTGCGTGAAATATATACTTTAAACCATGGTAAAGTGGCCAAAGTATCACTCTAAACTTTTAATTTGAAAGGTAGAATCTTCTGCTATAATCCTTATCAATCTTCTACTATAATCCTTATAAAAACAATCCCTAGAAGATTGAAGCTGGCACTTCAATCGTTCCTCAACAATCTAGACCCTAATCAGCTACACTTTCTCTCTCTAGTTTTTGCTGGATTCTGCATCATTGTTCCAAATCAATGGCCGGAAAAGGGATGGGTCGGGCAATCGGAATAGATTTGGGGACGACGTACTCGTGTGTCGGAGTGTTTTGTCCATTCCGCGAACGCGTCGAGATAATTGTCAACGATCAGGGTAATAACACGACACCATCCTACGTCGCCTTCAACGACACCGAGCGCCTCATCGGCGATGCCGCCAAGTTCCAAGTCCTCGGCAACCCTATCAACACCATCTTCGGTACAAATACATATATATTTTGTGTTATACTATTGAGTACTAGATTATGTAGTAGAGGTTTTGACTTTAATATATTTTAATTGAACGGTATTAACACTAAATATTTGTTATCATTTATGTAAATAATTAATTTCGGATTTGTATAGCTTCTATGGTTTTGATTTTACCTTTCAACTAATGGTATATAATAGATTTTTTATTTTTTATTTTTTTATTTTAGTGAAGTCCGGTTACAAATTGGATTGATTGGCTCAAAATAGTAGGAATATTTGTAAAGAATTATGTTGGCTTAGCATTAATACTCCAATAGCTAATTTTTTCTGAACGTTCAAGCAAACACACAGGCTTACAAGCATGACTTATCAATCTCCAATCTTTGAAAAGAGAGATCATACCATCTAGACTAATTCAAATTGGTAATACTTATTTCGTTTTGGTCTGTTCTGAATGTGGTTTTTTTTTTTTTTTTACTTGGTTTGTTATTCATTCTTGCAGTACTCATTTCAGCACGGAAAGGAAAAATTGAAATAACAATGTAAAAAACTAGTGTGATATATTCTATAGATGACACATGAATATTGATAATGGGAAAGAGATAATATTTGGACTTTTTATTGCTTTAATATGTTTTCTGGTTCCTAAAGTCTTGTATTTTTCTGAATTCCAGATGCGAAACGATTGATTGGTAGGAAGTTCAGTGATGCATCAGTTCAAGGTGATATGGAGCACTGGCCATTCAAGGTCATTGCTGGTCCCGGTGATAAGCCAATGATTGTGGTAAACTACAAGGGCGAGGAGAAACAGTTCGTTGCTGAAGAGATCTCATCCATGGTTCTCACTAAGATGCGTGATATTGCTGAGGCCTATCTCGGTTCCATGGTTAAGAATGCAGTTGTCACTGTCCCTGCTTATTTCAATGACTCTCAGCGTCAGGCCACTAAGGATGCTGGAGTCATTGCCGGCCTCAATGTCATTCGTATCATCAATGAGCCCACTGCTGCTGCCATTGCTTACGGTTTTGACAGGAGTGCTGCAAGTGTGGGCGAGAAGAATGTGCTTGTCATTGACCTTGGCGGTGGCACTTTTGATGTTTCTCTTGTCACCATTAAGGCGACGGGTGTCATTGAAGTGAAGGCCTCTTCTGGTGACACTCACCTTGGAGGAGTAGACTTTGATAATCGCATGGTGAACCATTTCGTTCAGGAATTCAAGAGAAAGCACAACAAAGACATCAGTGGAAGCACTAGAGCAATTATGAGGTTGAGGGCTGCTTGTGAGAGGGCAAAGAGGACTCTTTCATCAGCTATCTGGACAACCATTGAGATTGATTCATTGTATGAGGGAACTGATTTCTACCCAAGCATTACTCGTGCCAAATTTGAGGACCTAAACATGGATTTCTTTAGGGAGTGTGTGGAGAGTGTTGAAAAGTGTTTGAGGGATGCCAAGATGGACAAGAGCAGTGTCCACGACGTAGTCCTTGTCGGTGGCTCTACTAGAATTCCAAAGGTTCAGCAGCTATTGCAGGACTTCTTCAACGGGAAGGAGTTGTGTAAGAGCATTCACCCAGATGAGGCCGTTGCTTATGGTGCCGCTGTGCAAGATGCAATCTTGAGTGGTGAGTACCAGGAGCTGTCGCTGTTGGATGTAACCCCTCTGTCCCTTGGCATTGATGTTATTGGAGATGTCATGTCTCTTGTGGTTCCAAGAAACACTACAATTCCTACCAAAAAGGACAAGGGTTTCACTACCACTGTGGATAACCAGTCTAGTATATTGTTTCAAGTGTACGAGGGTGAGAGAACAAGAACAAGCGACAACAACTTGTTGGGCAAATTTGAGCTCTGTGGCATTCCTCCTGCCCCTAGAGAAGTTCCACAAATCAACGTCTGTTTTGACATTGATGCCAATGGTATCTTGAATGTCTCGGCTGAGGACAAGAGCACTGGTCAAAAGAACAATATCACTATCACTAATGAAGAGAACAGGTTGTCCAAGAAAAAGATTAAGAAGATACTTCAGGAAGCTGAGAAGTACAAGTCTGAAGATGAGGACTACAAGAAAAGGGCTGAGGCCAAGAATACTTTGGAGGCTTGTGCGTATAGGATGAGGAACACTGTGAAGGATGAAAAGATCAGTTCTAATCTCTCACCGGAAGACAAGAAGAAAATTGAAGATGCTATTGACGAGGCAATTCAATGGTTGGAAGGAAACCAGCTTGCAGAGGCAAATGAGTTTGAGGACAAGATGAAGGCGATTGAGAGCATCGGCAACCCCATCATTGCCAAGATGTACCAAGCTGGTGGCGGACCGGACATGGCTGGTGGCATGGCTGAAGATGGACCCTCGGCCGGTGCAAGTGGTGCAGGCCCTAAGATTGTGGAGGTTGATTAAGTAGTTAGTATTTTTAAACGCTATTAGGAGATTATACTTTATATTTTTTGTTGTTTGATGTTTTGGGTTGTAGTTGTTTTGAGGGATTTTACTGGTGGGAAGTCTATTATTTTCTGGTTGATGGATCTATTTTAATGGAGACAAGTTTTTCTTTGATAATATTTTCTTTGTCCATTAACTTATATGGAAGTGCTGCAAACAAGCAATGGTTTGTTCAGTTTGTAACCAATTACAAGCAAGGGGCTTTAATTTTTTCATAGAAATTAAATTTGATTATATCATATATATATATATATATATATATTCAATCATTTTTACAATTTCAATAAAATCATTTAATATTCATTAAAAACATAAACTAAACAAGTGCGGATAACAAGAGAACTATAAGTCCAACTAACAACTTTGGCTTTTTAGGGCTGGTTCTGAAATTAAATTTAGTTCCCAAAGTCCTTAGTTGTACCGACATCTTTAGTTTAAGAGTTTGCAATGGTCCCAGAAAAAGTTATAAAAGTCCCATAAAAGTTGTAGATGTTGCTAATAGATAGGAGATTTTTGTATCTGGTTACGCGGAGTAAAATGAATTAAACCCGGTTATTTTACTTAATTTTATATTTATATAAAATAAATATTAAGCTTATCTTGTATTTTTAGTGGATCCGATTATATGTAGTTGTCCTAAATGGCTTAATGTTTTATACAAGCCACAACGAAAATGTTTGGGAGGTCGATTGGAAGGCACCTAAACACTTTCATATAATCTAATTATACGTTGCGAGTATTAGACTAAATGATAAAAATATGGTTCGATTTTCTATTTGAGATAGGAAGATTGCATGTACAAGTAATATACTAAATGATAAAAAGTGGGAACTGATTTTTATTTTCTGACTGATATTTTTAGAGATAAATATTATATTTTTATTATTTTTAAATAGAAGATAAATAGGAACCTAAGTCACACGATTTTTAAGAGAAAACATACACATTATATATACACGAGTGAATTTATGGTGTTGTTCATATCCTAACCATATTTGAATCTATTGAAGATTGCATATACAAAGATCTTATTTCTTCTACATCAAATTCATCATATTCAACTAAGAAATTGAAACAGAAGAGAGAGAAACCCATGAGAAACCCTGAAAATCTTCATCCCAACCTTATCCATCGATCACCAGAGCAATCCCTACGATCACCTAACCGCCTCAAACCCCCTCTTCACCCCAATCTTCTCCATCGTTCACCATTGCACTCTCAAAGATCACCAAACCACCTCAAACCCCCATTTCTACTTCTGCAACTTGACGGCCAACAACATGTCCCAACTAATCCAAGCCTAAATCATCCCCTAATGGCCCACCTAAACCTCCATTCAAAACCGCATTATTTTCGGATCTTAACCCTAAGCCGTGTACAATCATTAAATCCAACACAAACCCTGGTACGTCTCACTCCAAATCACCCCCACCAGACCGTTATAAACCGCGGCCATCGACTGTTACAGGAGCCACTCTCACGAAGGTAAAAAATGTTCTGTAACAAGACCGTATCCTCAATCCGGATGGAAAGGAGATTTGCGATATAGTGTTTTTGCTGGAGGGGCTTGATGTGTATATCATGGAAGCTTCGAAATTTAAGCTACTTAAGGAGGTTGAGAGACTCCAGGAGCTACTTAAGTTAAAGGAGATTGAGCTTAAGAAGAAGGAGGTGGAGCTTCAACTTGCACTCAAACGTGCTGACCAGCCTTTCCTTCTTGATAATGAAGTTGCTGTTTTGCGGGGCATTCTTACAAAACTGAACCAGGGGGTGCCCATCCATTCAGGGCCGGAGCATCACGCATCGGGTGAAGGTTACGCACCGCCTGCAGCGAGTATCCATGGACAAGGTACAAATTTTCAAAGTTTGAATTCAAATATTGTTATGTCACATCCATCCCCTGACGTTGGGGTCTCTTTTACACCAACCATGAATCACGTGGACAAAGAGAGTCTGAGTCCTATTCCAACTAGTATTAACTCATTCTCTTTTCCATCCAACCCTCCTGATCCTATCCTAACTACCACTCCAACTCCAACTCTGCATACTTCAGAACCCTAATTACCTCAAAACTATCCTCCTGTTCTTCCTTGCCACCACAGCCAACCCAGCCAATTAGGCCCCACCTTTAATCTTAATGAAGCTGCACATAGTTGCACCAATGAACATTCCAAGCGCAGCTGATCATCTATTGCCCATGGTGCACATGATAATTGGTCATTTGAATTCTTCGAACCCACTTTATAGAATGGCAACATTATTGTAAAACCACCTGATTGCATTGAGCTTGAAGGGGAAAAGTACTGGAAAAATTGCGTTGTGGGTTTCTTTCGTAAAAAATTACCTTTTGAAATGGTCTCTGGTATTGCTTACAAACTATGAAAAAGTAGAGGCTTGAAAAAAGTTATTTCAAGCAAAAATGGGACATACGTCTTCATATTCAATTTGGTGAAAAATTGCAAGGAATTGATTGCAGGTAGACAGTGGGTTTTTGCAGGTAACCCCATTACCCTACGACTGTGGCTTAAGGACTCATCCCCACTAAAGAAGGAAAATTGTAAGACTCTCTCTATTTGGGTAAAATTCTTCAATGTGCTATTGCATCTATGGTCCCCTAAAGGCCTTAGCTACATTGCGAGTGCTGTTAGGAAGCCACTATTTGCAGATGCTAATACATAGGGAATGGATAGGATTGACTATGCAATGGTTTGTGTGGAAATTAATCTACATTCCGCACTCCCTTCTTCTGTCCCTATTAAATCAGAGGGTAATAAGCTTAAAACTATCACTGTCCAGTATCCTTGGAAACCTTTGATTTGTTCACGGTGCAGTTCTTTTGGACATACACTGGATCAATGTTTGGAGTGTTCGAAGAACTTGCTCACATCTAGTAATGAGATAAGGGAGAACACTGTGGATGAAGGTGGGTTGAAGCTGGTCACTAGAAGAAAAAATGGCAGTAGTACACAATGTCACCCCATTTCTAATCCTTTTCCCCACCCTTCAAGTTACCATCCAGCTGAAAAAGCTACATCATCCACTCCTCCTCTTCAACCACTTACTAACTAACTTTCCATCATCCTATGGTCTGAGGGTAACATTAACACTGTCACTGTGGATAATGATAATTCTCACCCCCCACCATGACAACCCCTTTGATGACCTCTTCCACCACTGATCCTAGCATGCTAAAGCCCTTGAATCTTGTGGTTGATTTATCTCCCCATAAGATGACCAAATCCTAAGTTATTTCTCCTACCACATTGCAAGTTCCAGTCTCTAATCCATTTGCTGCTTTGTTTTAAATTATTGTTAAGATTTGATGGATTCCTTGGCAGAAAATGATATTCTTCATGAAGAGGAGGACTTGTTCACAATGGAGCACTATGATCCTACCTTTTCACCTATTGTTAATAAGGCACTGAAGCCTAGGAAGCCAATGAATGGGAAACACTCCAAGATCAACAAAAAACCAAAGGTAGTGAAGCATGTTTTGAATAGTATTACTACCCTTAAGGGGTTTAGGGGGTTGAGCAGTCTGACTTCATCTTCTCAATGATTTGGGGTGCATGGAATATTAGGGGATTGAACTCTACCCCCTAATAATTAGAGGTAAAGAGATCAACTTCTGATAATGGTCTTTCTTTGGTTGCATTACTGGAAACAAAGGTTAACCAGGATAACATTGATTCTATCCATAGAACAATTGCCCCTAAATGGGATATCTTGTGTAATTACTCTCACTCAGTACTTGGAAGGGTTTGGATTCTTTGGGATCCAATGAAAGTTTCAGTGCTTTCTTGTTATACTGGCCAAGTAATCAATTGCATTATTTGGTTAATAGACTTGAAGCTAACATGTAATACTTCCTTTGTCTATGCTGCAAATACAGCCTTGGAGAGGGTGTCACTGTGGAGATGTCTTGATTGTTTTAGTGATCCAGCTGTGCCATGGATTCTTATGGGAGACTTTAATGTCTTACTACATGTAAATGAAAGCTTTGGAGGTGCACTGATTGGACTTAAGGGATGCAGGACTTTAAAGATTGTCTTCATAGGAATGAGTTGAAGGATTTGCGTTTCTCTAGAATCTTCTTTACATGGAGTAATAATAGTTTTGGATGTGCAAATATTTCCAAGAAGCTTGATAGGGTGTTAGTTAATCATGCTTGGTTGTAGCTTTTGCCTCAAGCTGCTTGTGAGTTCTTGCCATATGGGATTTCAGACCACTCTCCTATGGTGGTCAAGCTTGGATGCCTTGCACCAAAAAGAATTTACCATTCAAATTCTTCAACTTTTGGAGCCTTAATGAGAAGTTCATTGACATTGTTTACAATGGGTGGAAAAAGGAGGTTCATGGAACTAAAATGTTTTGTGTGGTATAAAGACTGAAAGCCTTAAAGCATCCTCTCAAATTACTCAACAAAAATGACTACAGTTCCATCTTAACAAGGGTCAGCATATGCAAAGATGAGTTATCCAAATGTCAAGCTTGTTTGGATTTAAATCCCTCAAATGGCCAGTTCAGATTAACTGAAAGAGGATTGGCTTCCAAGCTTTCTGAGCTTTATTTGGCTGAGGAGATGTTCTTTGAACAGAAAGCAAAAATACATTGGCTAAAGGTGGGGGACCAGAACACATCCTACTTCATGAAATCATTCTCCTCCAAAGCTAATAGGAGGAAGATTGTCTCCATTGAGGATACATATGGCAATGCAGTTTAGGACCAGGACCTAAAAAATGAATTCCTTGGCCATTTCAGAAATCTGCTTGGGCAATCCTACAGCAACTACCCAGGTATGTCCTCATTCTCTCATCTTATCTCCAAGTCAGTTCCCTCCCACCTTCTTCCAAACATTACAGCCATACCTACTGACTTGGAGATTCAGAGTTGCATCCTCTCTTTTAACCCCTATAAAAGCCTTAGTCCTGATGGCTTTAAATTATGTTTTTTTAACCATGCTTGGCTAATCATTGACCAAGATATCATTGGGGCAATTAAGGATTTCTTCATTTCTGGGAGGATGCTTTCTGAAATTAATTGTTCTTATATTGCTTTGGTCCCCAAAATTCCTAACCCTTCAATTGTTAGTGACTTTAGACCCATTTCTTGTTGTA